TGAAGGCTGAGCTGTTGAAGAGACACACTTACACTGACCTAGGAGAGCTGCGCCGCTACCTTGTGCTGCAGATCTCCAGGGAGAGAGCAGCACGCACCATCTCTCTCACACAGTCGCACTTGGTGCGCCACATCTTTCAGAGGTTCGGCCTTTAGTTTTCCTCCGCATAGCCCGCACCTTGGCCAGTAGATCACAGGCTCTCGGCTCCAGCCCCTGAGGAGTTTGTAGAGCCTAGTGGTCCTTACGCCGAGCTGGTGGGTTGCCTCTTGTACCCGATGACTTGCACCCGTCCAGATCTCGCATACCCTCTCAACATCTTTGCTTGCTGTGTGACCACAGCACTAGTCGGTTGCTAAGAGGGTTTTGCGTTATCTAGCAAGTACATCGAGCATGGGGCTAGTGCTACGGGGACGCAGGCCAACCGTCCTTACAGGACACACAGACGCTTCGTGGGCGGACGACGCTGAGACACTCAGGTCCTCCCGGGGCTGCTGCTTTAGCCTTGGTGTAGGCGCTATCTCGTGGAGGTCCACCCACTTGTCGTCTGTTGCTCAGTCGTGCTGCGAGGTCGAGATCTACGCTTGTGCCATGATGGCATAGGAGCTCCGCTGGTTGACTTTCTTGCTCACAGACTTAGGTGAGCGGCCTAGCTCTGCCCCAGTCCTGTATGCTGACAACAGGGCCATGATCCTCCCGTGTCAGGAGCCTCGACTGGAGGGCAGAGCGAAGCACATCCAGCTGCGATACTTCCTCCTGCGCGAGCTACAGCAGCACCGCCAAGCCCGCGTAGTACACTTGGCATCAGGTGCCAACATAGCTGATATCTTTACGAAGGCACTTGCGCCTCAAGATTATCAGCGGCATTGTGCCTAGTTCCCGTAGCTTCTCACTTGCTAGGACCCTGACTGTGTACTCCTACTTATATTATCTTGATTGACCTAGTAGCTCCTGTTCTAGTGGCTGAACTAGTAGTGCCGCCCTGGGTTACTCTTGTTTCTTTTGTACTCTTGCTGTCTGGTCTTCGCACCTTTGCCTCAGAGGTTAGACTAGTAGTGCCACCCTTAGCTGTGTGCCTCTTGCTAGTCACTGCCCCTTGCCTAGCCTAGGGGGTGTGTCAACATATATTATAGGCTAGCTAGGTGCATGCCTAGATAGAGTACAACCCCTTGGGTTATATCACATTGTACCACCTCATTCTAGTCAATTCGTTATAATCTACGACACGTAACTGTGCAAATTTTTGGAAGAATGTGCAGAGATGTGGTACTACAATACATCGGTAAAATTAGTGATGAGTTAGCGTTTTTTGGGCGTTCGTGTACAGAGAACGCATGATGAATGAATGCAGAGCCTATTTAGTGGATGTGTCGTGTCACTTGGCTAATTTTTACAATATTTGGGCTGGAGTATTGCATTTTTCCCACATTTATAGTGGTTAACATCAATTATAGATGTACATCCTTATAGTGAATAATAGGTATTTCAAAAATATTTTTATGTAGAATCAGACGCGCTGTACCGTACTTTTCACGTCCTATCGGATTGCTATCGGTATGTGCTCTTCTCCCGCACTTCACCAACAGCCCTGTCACTCGCTCAACTTTTCCACACGGCACGTCACGACGAACTTGTCACAATGCCCCGTCTACTGGACCGTACCACTCACATACCGTACTGTTGCAACCTGCCGCCACTAGAATCCTGACATTAAATTCTATCGTCATTACCTAGTCGTATCGTCAGCTTATATCTCCCGGCTGTGTCGCCTATTTTGCTCCGATAGGTCGCCGTCTCGCCGGCCGTCCTGGCGCCAGCAGCCATGGAGCGGGGCGGCCCGCGGCCGGCGCGGCCCATTTTGTCGCGCGAGCCGTCGCGGCGGCAGCAGCGCAGCCGCAAGGTGCCAGAGCCGCTGCGCCGCGCGATCGCGGAGTGCACGCAGCCGCATGCGGCGCCACTGGAGACGGCGGCTTGCCACCCCGTCCGCACGCTCGAGGTGAGGCGCGCGCGCGGACGAGGGGGGAGTGTCGGGTGATTGGGAGGGCGGGAAGGAAGAGGTGGGGGGCGGAAGAGGGGGTGGAGTGTCGGGTGATGGTGAGGGCGGGAAGGAAGAAATGGGGTGCGGGGGGGGGGGGAAGAAGTATTTGTGGGAGTGTTGCAGCGCAACCTCGTGGAAAGCGTGGATTGGCGGCGGGAACACGTGCGCCGCTTGGCCCGCTGCACACATGGCGGGCAGCGCATGCAGCCGAGCGCCCGCCGCTGGTGGGGACGGGCGCGACAGATGCGGACGGCGTGGCGCGGAGGTTGCGCGCGGAGGGGGGGAACGGGGGCCGCGGATGGAAGGAATATTGACGCGAGTGCGGGGAGGTTCAGTTGGGGGGTCTTGGGGCGATCAGTTGTGTGGGTGCCCCCATGAATGATGAACCACTCCTCGGTGTGTGTGTAGACTGAATGCGGGGAGACTGCATAGACAGACTGAATGGACTATCGATTCCGCACTGGCCCTCCCCCGACCCCGCATGAGTCTCACCCCCGCTCCAATGCCGCCCCCCTCGCTCCTCGCTGCTTCACTCTCGCTTCCGCGCTTCCCCTCTCCACCCTTTCGTACCCTTTCCCTGCTCCCATCCTCCGCTCTCCCGCCCTCCCCCTTGCCTTCCTCTCTCTTCCTCGCCTTTTCGCTCTCTCTTCCTTTCTCTCCCCCCCCCTCCTCTCCAGCACTCTCCCTCCTCCCCCCCTCCGCCCCCTTCCCGACCCCTTTTCCCCCTTTCTCCCCCCGCCCTCCTTCCCCCCACCCCACTGCCTTCCTTCCATCTCCCCCTCCCACGGTTGCCCCCTCTTTGAAGCGAATCTCCCATTGCTTTCCTGCCCACCGGACCCCTCTGTTCCCTTCCCTCCGCCCTCCGCCCTCCGCCCTCCGCCCTCCCCCTTCCGCCCTGCGCCGTGCGCCCTCCCCTGGTGGTTTGCAGGACTACCTGGGCGACGCGGCGACAGTGGACATGGCGTACAACGCGCTGCTGGACCACACCATGGTGGAGAAGGGGCGCAGGTGCGGCAGGGGGAAGGGGGAGGGGGGAGGGGGATGAGGAGACGGGGGGTGGGCAAACGAAGGGGGCCAAAGGAAAGGGGGCAGGGGGCGGGGACATACAGGGGACTGCAAGACATGGCATGAGAGTTGGGGGCTGAGGAGCTGAGTATGGATGGGTATGGATGGATGGGTATCGATGCATGTACATAGTCAAGAAGGCTCCCCGGTCAGTAACCCTTCCTCGGTGCATTGTGCGTTATTATGCATTGTTCGTTGCGATGAACGCCTGGTGCTCGTTTGCCAGTGCGCCCACCTCTGCTTGAAGCCTTTGCCCCTTGCTGCTTGCATCAATACTTACATCCTGCCTTGCCCTTACCATTAAACGCCTCCCCCCATTCCCTCCCCCCTCACTTATCGTGCTGACCACCTTCCAATAGCTTTATTAGCTGTTGTTGCCTGGGGCTTGGGAAAAGCGCCATCCTGCGGAGTCACTCTTTCCTTGTTCTCCCTCACATTTCTCGCAGTGCTGCTTGTGCGTGACACTCCCTCCGCTCCCCCCCCTCCTCCCCCCCCTCTGCTTTTTGCCCTTGTATGCAGCCCCCATGTGATTATGAAGGTCGTGGCTCTACTAAAAAAGTACCTCTTCCGGTGCGTCTCCTCTCACCCACCGTCTCCCCTCACCCATCCTTCTCTTCTCTTCTCGCGTGCACATCAGCATCAGCTACCTGTTCTGCATGAGTATCGTCCCTCAACCTCAACCCCCCTTCCTCTTCACCCTAAACCCCAACCCCCCCCCAAACACCCCCCCAAACCCACCCTGCACCAAAGCGTCAACACAAAGCCCCGCCCCAATACCCTCTTCCCCCTGCTTATCCCGTCCCTCTGCTTCTCCCTTCCCTCACCATCCACCCTCCCCATGGTCCTCGCCTCCCCTCCCCCCTCTCCCCCCCCTCCCCCTTTTCTCCCCTCCCCCCCTCCCCTCTCCCCCATCTCCCCACTCCCCCCCTCTCCCCCCTCTCCCCCCTGTCCCCCCTGTCCCCCTGTCCCCCCTCTTGGCGCTCCCTCCCCCCCTCAGCTACGGCCCGGCGATCTCAACTCTGGAGCACATAGACGGCTTCTGTGCGGACGTAATCGCCGAGCTCAAGGCAGCGCAGGCCGCCCGCCACCGCCTCGGCAACGCCGCCGCCGCCGCTGCTGGCGCCGATGGGCCCACGGCCGAATCCGGCCCCGCTCTGATCAAATCCCTGCTGTACGTCCGCGCGGTAGTTGCCCGGAACCTGCCTGCGCATCTCATGCGCTCCGCCCGCTCAGCAGACGCAGCAGTTACAACGTCAGGGGGGGGCGGGGGAGGGTTAGGCGTGGGGGGCGCAGCAGGGGGCGGCCCGCGGACCCCCTCGAGAGTGGCGCCGCTGGCTGTGGATGGGGCGGGGGCGGTGGTGGTGGGGGGCGGCGCGAGTGCGGCGCTGAAGCGGGCGAGTGCGGCGGATCGAGAGGCGGCGCAGGCGACGGCGATGGCAATGGCGCGGCTGATTCCAGGGCAGGATGGCGGCATGGCGGCGGGGCAGTATGCGCCCATGGACATGCTGAGAGTGCGGTGGATCAGCAGGAGCAGGGGGTGGGCGCCCTCCGCCATTGCCAGCTATGCGTGAGTGGAAAGGGGAGGGGAGGGGTGTGGATGGCGGGAGGGAGTGGGGGTGGGAGTGAGAAGGGGATGGGAGTGTGGGGGTGAGTGAGTGGGTGGTGGGAGTGAGTGGGGGGGGGGAGTGAGTGGGGGGGGAGCTGATGGGGTGGAGTTGAGAGTGTGGGTGGGTGGGGGTGTGCTTGGACTGAGTGGGTGGTGGTGTATGTGCTACTAACGGCCAACCCATGCCGTCACGGTCATCCCTCCAGCCACACACGCTTACCCATCATTCCGCCATGCGCCCTTTCTCACGCAGCCAGTGACTGCCCTTTTCACCCCTTCCCACCAGCACCTACCCCCCTCCGCGCGCGCTATCAGACGCGCTGCACCTGGAGCCGCTGCGCACGGTGGCGGATGGGAGCGCTGCAGCGGTACTTCTAGGCATGCACGTGGTGCAGCTGGAGGCCGAGGGCAGCGCGGACCTGCTGCACTTTGACACGGTCACAGGGACGGTGGACGCGGTGGTGGTGCGCAACCACATCCGCCACATCACCATCACCAAGCGCCTCAAAGCTGACCCCACGTATGTTCGTAGTGCATGCATGCGCGGGCTGTGTTTGAGCCGTGGCTTGAAAGGACAACACGCTGTTCACAGCAGAGCCCACGTGAGTGTGTGTCGGTGAGGAGGATGTGAAGGGAGTGGTGGATGCATGGAATCATGCCTGGATGTGGTGTGGTGAGCACATGCATCGGCGCATTGATGTGGGGACAGAGTGATGGTACATGTCTAACTTGATTAAGTGACTCTCAGCTTCACAACTGGAGTGCCCTCTCATACTTTCTCTAGTTCCTGCGCAGTCCTCCCACCGCCCCATCCCCACCTCCAGTTCCTCTCCCAACCTCCCCCTCCCCTTCTCCCCATCCCGCGCTTTCCTATCTCTTTCCTTCTTCAAGTGCCAACCCCTCCCTCATCTCCTCACGCGTGTGCCTGTGTGTCGTGATCACTGCCCATGTGCGCCTGTGCTGCTGCCCTGCCAGGGGAGCGGCGGGAGACGGTCTGCAGAGCTCCATGAAGCGCCGCCGCCCGCTCTTCCAATATCGCTACTACAGGTGAGCTGCTCAGAGTTGCCCGGGTGCAAGATATCGATTTGAGGGGGGAAGGAGGGGGTGGGGATGGGGGGGGTGGAAGGGAGGGGGGTGGAAGGGAGGGGGGAGGGTGGGGTGGTATGTGATGTGATGTGATGTGATGTGATGTGATGTGCAGAAGGTGAAGTGGCATGACATCCAGTGACGGAGTTGCTGGCGTCTCTCTTCTTGCTGCCATCAAATGCTGTATGCCTCTCGCCTTGCTGTCTCACCACTCGTTGGGATGCCCTACTCGTCGCTTTGAAGGCTCTCATTTCCCCTCCCTCCCGTCCTCCCACCACTACCCCACCTCCCTTCTCACTTCCCCCTTTACCTTTTTCTCCTCCCTCTCTCTTCCCCTGCGCCTCTCATCCTTCCCGTATCTCACCATCTCTCACCCCCTTCCAGTGCAGCGAGCAGCAGCAACCGCTGCGGCTGAGTGAGGGCGAGATGGAGGAGCTGATGGTGGCCGTGTTGGTCGCCTCGCCACTGCACGAGCAGGAGGCGATTCTTGAATTGGCTCCAAATCATCTCCCCCACAATTCTCTCCCCCCCCCTCTCCCCCTTTCTCCTCCCCACTCCTCCCCACCTCACAGCGAGCAGCAGCCGCTGAGGCTGAGCGAGGGCGAGATGGAGGAGGTTATGGCAGCCGTGTGCTCCGTGCCCGCCGCCACAGCAGGGGGGGGCGCGGGGGGCGCAGGTGCGCACGGGTCGGCGCGGCTGTCGTCGCCGGCGCACCACATGGCACCACAGGTGGAGGCCGCTGACGTGGCGGCGTCCGTGCTCATCAAGATGCTCATTGACATGTCAGTGGGGGGGGGTGGAGCTTGCGGGCGCTGGAGAGAGGGGGGCGGGGGAAAGGGGTTTGGACGTGGGGAGGAGGGGGAGGTGGGTTGGGGTGGGGGTGGAGGGGGAGGGCATGCTTCTGTTCCGCTTCCTTTGAGATTCGCTTGCTTTTGTTTAATATTAACTACCTCCTTTCCGCTAGCTGAGCACCCTCTGTTTTTCCCCAGCGACTCTTCCCCTGCGTGCTGGTCTGGCTGTGCTGTGCCATTCCTCCCGTTCCTTGCATCCCCGCATGCACGCCCTGCGCGTCCCACTTGCCCCTGCAGGTATCTTGTGGACCCTCGCTCAGCAGCGCCTCTTGCGCTCTCCATGATGCATGTGAGCGGGCCGCCGCCCTGCATCTTTCACCCGGGGCCCTCACCCTCTTGCCTTCTCGTTCCTGCATTCGCTTTCACTTTCTGCTTGCCGTCTCACTCTCTCAGATTCCTCAAGCTAGCGCCCTAGCCCATGCTGCACTTGCTCTCTTACAGGCTCCTGTCCTGTCTTGCTTCGGTACATCAACCAACCTCTGCCTCTCCTCCTCACCTCTCCCCCTTTTTCTCTCCACCCTCCCCTCGGTCCCCTTCCCCTCCACCCTCCCGTCTCCCCTCTCTCCCCCATCCCCCGCTTCCCCCCAGACTCTCCTCTCCTCCAGCAAGCCCACAGTGCGCGTGCGTGCATTCGACCTGATGGTGAACCTGGGCGTGCACGCGCACCTGCTGCACCCGCTGCCCGTGGAGGACGAGGCGGGGCAGGCGTACTCCTCCGAGGCTGACGCTGCTGAGGCGGAGAGGGGCGCCGTGAGGAGGGCCGAGGCCGTGACCATGTTTGAGGAGTGGCTGCTGGGGCTGCTCTGCGACATGGGGCTGTACCTGGTGCAGGTGAGGGCGGGTGTACCTGGTGCAGGTGAGGGTGGTGTACCTGGTGCAGGTTAGACTCACCCTCCTTGGTCCCCTTTCCCCTCTCGGCCTCCTTCGTCCCCGCTCTCGCGCACCAACCGTCTCCCCCCTCCCCTCCCTTCCCTCCCTCTCTTTCTCGGTCCCTCTCGCTCTCGTTCAGGTGGAGGAGAGCGATGAGAGTGTGTGGGCAGCGGCGCTGAGCTGCCTGCTGTACCTCACGTGCGACCGGGGCCGGACTGTCTTCCACCGCCTAGCTCTGTTGGATGTGCGGGTCAGTGTGGAGCCACTTCCTCCATCTCCTCCTCCTCCATCTCCTCCTCCTCCTCCTCCTCCTCCTCCTCCTCCTCCTCCTCCTCCTCCTCCTCCTCCTCCTCCTCCTCCTCCTCCTCCTCCTCCTCCTCCTCCTCCTCCTCCTCCTCCTCCTCCTCCTCCTCCTCCTCCTCCTCCTCCTCCTCCTCCTCCTCCTCTTCCTCCTCCCTCAATCGGTCCTTTGTATTAGCCTTATAAGTTGTACAAAGTGGCAAACAGGGGGTATGCACAACCTATGTTGCCATATGCGCAATTTCAGGCGGGCGTTTAGCATGTAAACGCTCGCGTATAAATGCGATACGCTAAACGCAGGCGAATACGCTAAACGCTCGCCCGAAAATTTCGGGGCAGCCCGTCGAAAAAATCGCGAATTTTTTTCCCGCGATTTTTCGACAGGGCGAACCCAACCACACAATCGCCAAGTCGTGAAAACCAACCAAGGACTTCAAACTGGGTTTCCTTCAAACCCCCCCTCCCTGCTGCTGCCATCATGTTAAATGTGCTGGAGTGGAGGTTTGATTGCTGCCCCCATAAACTATGTAATCTGTACTTTCATGTCATGGAAAAAATGTCTTTCTATATTCCCCTCCTTCCCCCCCCTCTCCTCCCGTTTTTTTTTTCTGCCCGGGACAGAAGTTTAGCCTGCCCAGGCGAGCGTATATCCAGCGTTTACAGGCCTCAATACCTAGTGTTTAGCGTATAAACGCTAGCGCATTAAACGCTAGCGTATAAACGCTAAACGCACATGGCAACATAGTGCACAACATTCTTTGTTCCCTCTCTATCTTCCTCCCTCCCTCCCTCCCTCCCTTTCCCCCCACCCAGGTCCTGGCGTCGCTGTTGGAGGTGAGTGTGGTGCACGGGTGGGCGCAGGCGGTGCACACGCATCTGGTGCGCATGCTCACGTGCCTGCTCTACGCAGCACCGCACCACACCGCGCACCACGGCACGGCGCGGGATGGGCGGGGGTTTGAGGCGGCGCGGGATGGGCTGAGGCTCGATGTGAAGCAGCTGGAACGAGTGGGGGGGGTGGCGTTCATCTGCTGCCATGTGAGTGCCCTTCATCTGCTGTCACGTGACTGGCATCCATATGCTGCCATTTTTCTTGCACGCTGCACTGTTTACCCCTCTCCCACCGCCCCACCTCCCCCACACCTCTTCTTCCCCCCCCCTCCTCATGCCATTCCGTCTCTCTGCTCCGCTCTCCCTCCCGCATCCCCCCTCCCCCCCCCCCCCGGCATGAGCAGTACTCGGCGTCGCAGGAGGTGGAGGCGCGGCGCAATCTCTTTGCGGTGGTCATGGACTATGTGGCGCTGCTGTGCCGCCTGCACCCCATCTCCCATGCTTCCTCCGACCCACCACCCTCCGTACGTGTGCTGCGTCTGTGTGTGTGCTGCGTCCGTACGTGTTCTGCGTCCGTGTGTGCGCTGCGTCCCTTTGTGTGCTGCGCCCGTGTGTGTGCTGCGTCCGTGTGTGTGCTGCGTCCGTGTGTGTGCTGCGTCCGTGTGTGTGCTGCGTCCGTGTGTGTGCTGCGTTCGTGTGTGTGCTGCGTCCGTGTGTGTGCTGCGTCCGTGTGTGTGCTGCGTCCGTGTGTGCGCTGCGTCCGTGTGTGTGCTGCGTCCATACGTGTGCTGCGTCCGTGTGTGCGCTGCGTCCGTGTGTGTGCTGCGTCCGTGTGTGTGCTGCGTCCGTGTGTGTGCTGCGTCTGTGTGTGTGCTGCGTCCGTGTGTGTGCTGCGTCCGTACGTGTGCTGCGTCCGTGTGTGCGCTGCGTCCGTGTGTGCGCTGCGTCCGTACGTGTGCTGCGTCCGTGTGTGCGCTGCGTCCGTGTGTGCTGCGTCCGTACGTGTGCTGCGTCCGTGTGTGCGCTGCGTCCGTGTGTGTGCTGCGTCCGTACGTGTGCTGCGTCCGTGTGTGCGCTGCGTCCGTGTGTGTGCTGCGTCCGTACGTGTGCTGCGTCCGTGTGTGCGCTGCGTCCGTGTGTGTGCTGCGTCCGTGTGTGTGCTGCGTCCGTGTGTGTGCTGCGTCCGTGTGTGTGCTGCGTCCGTGTGTGTGCTGCGTCCGTGTGTGTGCTGCGTCCGTGTGTGTGCTGCGTCCGTACGTGTGCTGCGCCTGTGTGTGTGCTGCGTCCGTGTGTGTGCTGCGTCCGTGTGTGTGCTAGGGCCATGCATACACCCGCAAGGACCTGCGCTGCCTCTCTGAGCTGCCATCAGTGCTCCCCTTTGCAGCATCTCTCTACTCTACTGGTCCCTTCCTCCCCCTATCTCTCTGCTTGCACCCCCACCACTTAGACATGGTTAAAACGCGATTGCGATTTAAATCGCATAGCGTTGGGGTGCGATTTAATAAAAATGCGATGCGACTTAAAATCGCATTGCGCGATCTAAATTTCGGATTTTTTAGAATCGTACATCGCGTTTAGAGTGCGATTTAATTAAAAACCGCGGGCGATTTTATTTTAATCGCGCGATGAGATTTTCAGACCAGGTTAAAAACCCTCCCAAATTGTCCCTGTTAATTTTTTGAAAAGGGCAGCCCACAGTACTAAACACAGTCCGTACATTATAGTTCTCTAAAAGAGAATCCATTTGGCGCATGTTTGGGCTTTGTTCCCCCCCCCCCCTGCCCCCCCTGCTGGCGCGATTTCGCGTCGCGATGATTTCTACATCGCTCGCGTTTTTTTTTAAGTTGCGAATCGCATGTAAATCGCAATTTTTTGTGCCGATTAAATGCGATTTAATTAAATCGCGCGATAAGCAATAAATCGCATCGCGCGATTAACCAAAAAAAAAAAAATCGCCATCGCAAAAACGCGATTAAACGCGATGCGATGCGATGCAATGTTTTTTTACCATGTCTACCACCACTCCTCTGCATTCCCCAGGTGCCATCCTTCCACACCACCCTCATCCAAATCATGCCTTTCCTTCACCTCCCTCCTGTTCCATCCACCTCCCCCCACCTCCCCCTACCTTCCCTACCTCCCCCTACCTTCCCCCGCCTCCCCTCACCTCCCCCCGCCTCCCTCCGCCTCCCTCCCTCCACCCCCTTCCTCTCCCCCCGCCACTTCCCCCATTCCCAGGACGCGGAGCTAGCAGCGGTGGTGGCAGCGCTGGTGGCAGCGGGGGCGCCAGAGGCGCTAATGGTGGCGCTGAAGGCGCCATCGCCCCCTGCGGGGGCCATTGGGGCTGCGCTCGCGCGCACCATCGCCGCGCCTCTGCCCCCCGACACCTCGGCTGCTGGCTTCTCCCTGCAGGTGCGTGCAGCCGGCACACCAGGGGGCGGTCGGGGGGGTGGAAAAGGGAGGAGCATGGCGGTTACACTTAGAGAGGGAGATGGTTGCGGGGGGGAGTGAGGAGTTGGGGTCAGGCCATATTTCCGCTCGATCTTGGGCGTTTTGGAATCGCCCGACCAGGTCCTAGCACATAGAGCAATAAAAACACACACTTCAGTACAATTCCTCGTGATATTGAGGCATTTAAACTACAGATCTGGAGGAATCCGGATTTGAAATTTCTGAATCGTGAGAGATGGTTGGGGGTGCTGTGCTGTGGTGAGCACTGAGGGTGGTGGTCCTGGAGAATTGTAAAACACTGTCACTGAGGGTGGTGCCGGCCTGCCTGTTGCAGGCGCACATATTCCCCGCTCTGCTGTGTGCAAGCGGCTGTGGATACTTGTGTAAGTGCACCTCTGCACAGTTTGCCACTTTAGCATGCATGGATGCATGCACGACACACCTGTTTTCTGCCGCTGTTGTTCTCACAAGCTGCTGCTGAGTAGCCACCCTTATCACCTCCCCTTGACTACAACTCGTCCTCCTCTCTTGCCACACCACCACTTTGTGCCCTCACCATGCTCATGCTCCCTCACCCCCATTCTCTCCACCCACTCACCTCGTCCTCCCATCATGTCTGCCATCCCCACCCCAACTCTTCCCCCCTTCCCCCCTCCTCTCCCCCCCACCTATTTCCCCAACTCCCCCCCCAAGGCGCTGCATCTAGTGACGGACATGTTGGACGACCTCATAGCGTCGCACCTGCGCCTGCCCCCCGAGTTCACGGCCATGTTCCAGCGCACCCTCGCCAGCGACAGCCCCCCCGACCCCGCCCCCTCCCCGTCCGCCACTGCCGGCACTGCCAACGCCAGCAATGGCAGCAGCAGCGGTGGCGGCAGCGGGGGTGCAGACGACACGGAGGTGGTTAAGGAGAGGGCGGCGTGGAGCACTCTCAGGGCCTTGCTGCACTCGCAGCGCGCTGTTGACCGCCGCAACGGGCTCACGTGGCTGCTGCACCTGCTGCTGCAGCAGCTGCCCAACCTCGCCCCCTACCAGCAGTCCCTGCTCGCGGACAGGGAGGACGGGCAGCAGCAGCGGCAGCAGCAGCAGCAACGGGGGGGGCGGGGAGGTCCCCTTATGGTGCTGTACCGGCAGCTAGCACAGCTGGAGCAAGGGGAGGCTGGGGATGAGGGGGGAGGCGGCGGCGGCATGGGGCTGGGGATGGGGGGGGCTGCAGGCGGGGGGGGGGAGGGGGGGAGGGCGAAGAGCGGGCGTGTCTGGAGCAGTGCAGTTGATGCTGGAGCTAGTGCGCTCAGACAACACGGCTGTAAGGCGCGGGTTTGTAACAGTGCTAGAGCAGCTGTTGCTGCTGCACGCTGCAGAGACCGAGCAGGAGTCCCGGGAAAGCCGTGCCGCTGCCCACGCCGCTGCAGCCGCTGCAGCAACGGCGCCCGAAGGCGCAATGGGGATGGAGGAGCGGCGCGCGGCGGAGGAGGCAGCAGCAGCCGCGTCAGCCGTGCAGCACCAGGGGGCGCAGGATCTCCTAGCGGTGATGAGCAGTGCTCTGTGGCAGGTGATGTCGTGCAACGACAGCGACCGCGTGAACATTCTCCAGATGTGCTCCATCATGCTCTGGCAGCTCTGCGTCCCCAGGTTCCTCCCCACGGCAGAAGTCGTAGAACCCGGCAGCCCGGTGCCCAGCCCCGGTGGCAGCAGCTGGCTTGTGAACCCGCGCATGGCAGCGGTGGCAGGAGGGGAAGGCGGGGGCGCCATGAGCCCACCGTATGTAGCAGAAGAGAGTGAGTCCATGGCGCGGCTCTTTCTGCTACGCAGGGCCGCAGCAGCCAGGGAGCTGCTAGCCGCGCTGCCCACGGCGCTGCTGTACTGGCCGCTCATGCAGCTGGCGCCCAGTGCTGGGGATCCCATAGCGCTCGCCACGGCGGTGGGGAGTCATGGCATTGTGGGGGCAGGGGGGGCGGTGGATGTGCGTGTGGCGCTGCTGCTGCTGCTGATTGGCAAGTGCAGCGACAGCAGTGAGGCGCTGGAGGAGGTTGGAGGGGACGCCTTCTTCCGGTGGGTGTTGCGTGTGCTGTGTGTGCTGTGTGCTGTGTGTGCCGTGTGCCGTGTGTGCCGGTTGCCGGTGACGCGTGCCGTGTGTGCTGCTGAGGTTGGCACTTCTGTGCTGCGTTGAGTCTTATGCATGTCAGTTAAATCCTCTCCCTCTGATCCTCCACCCCTCCCTCCTTCCCTCCCTCACTCTGACTCACGCACATGCATGCCTTGTCCTTGTGAGAGGTGTCATTCCTTGTCCTTGTGAGAGGTGTCATTCCTTGTCCTTGTGAGAGGTGTCACTCCTTGTCCTTGTGAGAGGTGTCATTCCTTGTCCTTGTGAGAGGTGTCATTCCTTGTCCTTGTGAGAGGTGTCATTCCTTGTCCTTGTGAGAGGTGTCATGCCTTGTCCTTGTGAGAGGTGTCATTCCTTGTCCTTGTGAGAGGTGTCATTCCTTGTCCTTGTGAGAGGTGTCATGCCTTGTCCTTGTGAGAGGTGTCATTCCTTGTCCTTGTGAGAGGTGTCATTCCTTGTCCTTGTGAGAGGTGTCATGCCTTGTCCTTGTGAGAGGTGTCATTCCTTGTCCTTGTGAGAGGTGTCATTCCTTGTCCTTGTGAGAGGTGTCATTCCTTGTCCTTGTGAGAGGTGTCATTCCTTGTCCTTGTGAGAGGTGTCATTCCTTGTCCTTGTGAGAGGTGTCATGCATTGTCTGCCACTGCCGCTCTCCCCATGCTCCCTGCCCCTCTCCCCCTGCTCTCAGGTCTCTGCTGGACGACCCTGACGCCCGCATTGCGTACTGGAGCGCCGCCTTTCTCGTCAAGGTATCTCCCACCCACCCACCCACCCACCCGCCCACCCCCTCATTCTGCTGCACCCTCCTCAATCGTCTCAGCTCGTTGTGCACCTTGTTCTGCTCTCCCAGCCATGCACTTCTCCACTCCCCTTCGATTCCTGACTTCTGCCAATTGAATGCCATCTCTCATTCGTTTCCATCAGTAATGCTTGTCCTTGCCTTTGCATGCCTGTTCTTGCCTGCTCCCTGCTTCATTGACCCTGCCTCTTGCAAACCCCTTCCCTCCCCTTTCCCCACCTCTTCCTCCCCATTCCCCCTTCCCCCTTCCCCCTTCCCCCTTCCCCCTTCCCCATTCCCCCTTCCCCCTTCCCCTTCCCCCTTCACCCTTCCCCTTTCCTCCTTCCCCCTTCCCCCTTCGCCCTTCCCCTTCCCCCGTCCCCTTCTCCGTCCCCCCAGCGCATGATGTTGCAGCAGCCTGATGTGTACCGCCGTGCTCTGCACCGCCTCATCTTCACAGCGCAGCAGGTGAGCGCTCTCTCACAGCGCAGCAGGTCACTGGTTCCTCACACACCGCTTGCTCCCACTCACCTGTGTGCTTCCAATGGCTCTCGCCCTGTCATTCATTCACTTGCTCCCTCAAATCTTCCCTGCCCCTTCAACTCTTCCCGCCTCATCTCCCTTGCATCTCAGACCAACAACGAGAAGCTACTGGAGAACCCGTACCTTCAGATGCGAGGCATCCTGCAAGACACCCCCGATGCGCTGCACCTCACCTCCTGAATCCTGATCCCCTCAACCCCTCCTAACACTCGAGCAGCACTAAGTATCAGAATAATGAAGTGAACTAGATAAGGGGATACAAGGGTTCTTATGCTAGTTTCTTGTACTCTCTAAGAGCATGCGCCTGTCTAGCCTATAACAACTGTTGGAAATACCTCGAGAACTTCAGCGTTTCTGAAGTGTAACACTACACTTGAGGAAAGTCGTATCGGGTACGCGAGTCAACGGAGGTTACACGAGGAGGTTGGACGAAAGAATACGTAAGGGTGAAGGAATTCGAAGGGTCGCAACCGGAGGTAGCGATTGACCATTGCGACTGCAAGGGTGGTAACCGAGCCGACAATCGAGTCGCTGTGCGACTCGATAACTGTTCCTTCAACTGTATTCTACAACTGCTTCATCTCTTACTTTCTATATATTGCTGTATACTTGTTTCTTTTAATCAATCACTTGCGCTCACATACTAGTGCAAGGGTTCAACTACTCAACACTTCCGCTGCACTACTCAAGCATTTTATACAAGTGGGACTTAGTCTCTGAAAAGATCCTAGGGCTTTTCTCAAACTCCCGTCAACAACATCCTATCTACAGTCAGGATATCAAAAGATTCATCGATTATAAGACATGGACAACAAGGGCAAGAATTCTTCCACGGTGTTGGAAATACCTCAAGGACTAAAGTGTTTCTGAAGTGCAACACCACACTCGAGGAAGGTCGTAACGGGTACGCGAGTCAACGGAGGTTACACGAGGGGTTGGACAAACAACACAAAAGAACTCGAAGGGTCGCAACTGGAGGTTGCGACTGACAGTTACAGCTGCAAAGATGGTAACCGAAGCGACAATCGAGTCGCTGTGCGACTCGATAACCGCTCTTTCAACTATATTCTACAACTACTTTACTTTCCTACTTTCTATATATTGCTGTATGCTTGTTCTTTTAATCAATCACTTGTTCTCATATACTAGTACAAGGGTTCAACTACCTCAACTTCCGCTGCACTATTAAAGTCTTTTACAACTGGGACTTAGTCTCTGGAAAGATCCTAAGGCATTTATCAGCCCTACATGGTATGACAGCTGGTCAGAGACCAAACTCCCAGCAACTACGCTCTATCTACAATCAGCACACCAACGACTTCATTGATTACAAGTCATGGACAGCAAGGGCAAGAAAACCTCTACGGGCTCACCCAGTGCCCAAGATACTCAACCCGTCAACTCTGGACTGCACACTTCAGGACTGCAAACCGAGACCGGCGCTGCTCAAGAAACAACAGGAAGAGCACCAGAAATGGTGACCCCATCACCCTCTTCAAACGTGGACCCGAACCTTATGGAAAGGTTCTTCAGCTTTATGTCACACTTTGACCAGCAGCAGCAGACAAGGACACCTGCGCATTCAACACAAAGCAACGGAGGAAACATGGGATTAGCGCCAATGAGTCTCGACAACTCATCGTTCGGGCGACACAATCAAGCGCCTACCTTTGCGCCTTATCACTCTTCACCGGGGACGTTCGAGTTCATGCCGCCCCGTGCCCAACCAACAGCAGCTGCATCACAACAGACACCAAACGAGATTTTAACTCTCCAGGCGCAGTTTTCACACGTGATTAAACTGCAGACATCCTCACCATTCAACGGACACGATTTCTTTACCTGGAGTTTTGAGTTCGAGCTGCTGATGGAGGCTGCGCATCTCTTGGGATACTTCAACGGGTCCCTGCCATTCCCAAGCAACGACACTGCAAAAGAACAAGAAATCTTCACGTATCAGTCGCAACTGGCGTACACAGTTCTCCTACGGAACCTGTGACCTCAAGAACAGCAAAGCATCAGAACGTATAGGAGCTACGGAAACTCCGCGGAGCTGGCATGGCATCACCTCAAGTGCCTCTATCAAGCAAATGACAGCGTGACACAAAGCAGACTCATGCAGCAGCTGACAACAATACAAATGAAGACCGGGGAAAAAGCGATGCAGTATATGAGTCGATGCCAGACACTCCGCGACCGCCTGCTTCGGTGTGGAGGAACAATCACTGAAGAAAGCTTCGTAACGCTTGTCCTCGCTGGGCTCGGGCCAGAATGGCGAACCACCCGCTCGCTCCTTCGCGCCCACGGCCGAATCTCGGAGATGCACCTCTGTGCCGAGCTCCATGCTGAACAACAGGAGATGGACTTGTTTGAAGAAAGACAACCAAGGAAACAACAACCATTAGTCTTCTACACTCAACGAAGACACGACAACAACTACAACCAACGCGGCAGGCAAGATCAACGCGACAACAGAGGACTCACCATTGTACCGCTGTTCTGCCACAACTGCCAAACATTCGAACACTCCAAAGTCAACTGCACACGTCCCCGAGCTTATCGTCCAGTAGACCCACAAGTCGCTTCCACTCACGTAAGTCCGCCGAGGCACCCTTCCACATCTGCACAAAATACACCAAATATCATCAACTGCATGGTACACATCGACAACTGCGCACCCGGATCACTGCCAACTTACGCTCCCGATGAAGAAGAACTGTCGCCGCCGCGCTCACAGGGACTCCAGGTCAACCCAACGTACGCTGCAGTCGCCAACTCCGAACCCACCGGACGCAACACTTGGTTCTTGGACAGCTGTTGCGGCCAACACATGTGTTCTTCCGGGCGTTTTGTGCAACGAGAACGATGTCTCAACCGAGACGTCATCATCACTGTCGCCAACAACGAGAACCTGAGGACAAACAGACAAGGAGTGGTTCAGTTACAATCCATGGAGACAAACGTTATACTGCAACTCAACAAAGTCCGCATCGTCAACAACTTGGGATACAACTTACTAAGCGTCAGCTAGTTAATGGCAAAAGGAATTCACCTGGAATGCGACTCGGACTCCAACGAGTTTCGCCTCTACCATGGGAAGGGTGGCCTCTTCATCGGTCGTGCTCTCCTGAAGTCCGGGGTCTTCGTGTTGGACTTCGTCCCCGACCGCGGTACCGCCGATAGTGATGGCATCGTGTCATTTGCCGCATGGACACACCCACCGGATCTTGACCCAGACTTCAACCAAGATGGATACTGGTACTCAAACACCATACCTGCAGCAGAGAGAACACGCGCGTTAGCAGTCATTCGACAAGAAAGACAAGTACCGACAAGCATCTCTTCATCGACATCACCTGAAATCACAGTAGCAGAACCCAGCCGAGTACCACCACCAACGATCCGAGGACCACCAACCGAAGCAGATCAATTAATGCCCATCACACGAGAAGTCTGCCGAAGTCCCGCCAACGTCGTCGCGTTCTTCTCCAACACCGACATGTATCATCGATCGCCCGGCCATCGAGCTCCCGACGACATCTGGCATCAACGCCTTGGGCATCCTGCAAATAGCACGGTACTACAAACCATCCAAGCCGAAGTGTTAGAACGAAACGCTCTCCTTACAACAAGCGGACAGGAACTTCGACGACCTCGCGCACGATGCTTCACATGCCCCGAAGCAGATCTTCAGCACCAACCTTTTCCGTCACATCACAATCCAAGCGCACCCGCATATGCACCGATGGAAAAGGTTTACAGCGACATCTTAAACATGCCTCGCGACGACACTGAAGCAGACTTCAACTATGTCATAACATTCATCGATACAGCAACAAGATATGTTTGGCACTACAACCTCAAGACGAGAGACCAAGCCTTCGAAGCCTTCAAGACGTGGCTTCCCATCGCTGAACGAGAATCAGGAACGAAGCTCAAAAGCTTCCAGTCAGACGACGCACTAGAATACCAGTCACAACGCTTCAGGACCTACTTGGCGGAAAGAGGAATCAGATGCTTGGTGTCTCTGCCCTACGCTCACTAGCAGCAGGGGGTTGCAGAACGAATGAACCGGACCTTGCAGACGACGATGCGAAAGCTGCTTCTGGGGATGAGACTGCCCAACGCACTGTGGCCAGACGCGATGACCCATGCAGTCCACCTGCACAACCTGCTATCCTCGTCATCGCTTCCCAACAACGCATCACCGCACCTGCTGTGGACAAGAAAAAGGGGCAGCACAAAATTACTTCGGGTTTTCGGCTGCATGGTACAGTACAGACCCCACACAGCCAGAGCAGGACGCTTCACTCAACGAGCACGATGGGGACTACACCTCGGCATCGCAAAACATTTTCAAGCATGGAAAATCCTCGACATACAAGACAAAAGTACCGTGGCATCACGTGATGTGATATTCTACGAACGACTGACGCTGCAGCATTACCTGGACAACGTCGCCAACACACACGACCCCACCAACGGTGTCGCAGGCCTTCGCTCTTTCGCTGACCATGCTGCCGAGGTTGACGCAGCCGAAGAAGACGTACCTGGAGCCTCGGAAGCTGCCCGACCACTCCCTTACTGCTCCGTACCTGTTCCCCTCGACGAAGACAATCCTCTCGATAGCAACAACCTCGACACCATCTACCACTTCGCTGACCAAGGTTCCGCTACACCTCACCCGGTCGACACGAATATCTCAGAACGCATCGGCCCCAACTTCTTACCTGATCCTGAAGATGGCGACGAAGCAGCTTATCCCGGGAATGAAAATTCCCCTCGACACACACCCACGGGACTGCAAATCCTCGGCTTATGGGTCTCCGTCCAGCACCCGCCGCCGCCATCTCCGCGAGAGCCAACGACTCTGTCGCAAGCTCTGGAGGGGGAACACAAGGCGAAATGGAAGGAGGCAATGGAAAAGGAACTGAAAGCCTTGCAAGACCGAAATACATGGAATCTGGTACCTGCAACAAACATCAACGGGAAGAACGTTCTCTCGGGAAAATGGGTGTACCGTATCAAGACCAACGCGGACGGCTCCATCGAACGATTCAAAGCTCGATGGGTCGTACGAGGCTTCGATCAACGATACGGAACCAACTATACAGAAACATTCGCCCCAGTCTCCCGTCACACCTCCTTGCGCATCCTACTCGCCGTCGCGGCCACGAAGAAACTACCACTGCGCCAAATCGACGTCGCAAATGCTTTCCTGTACGCACCTGTGGACGCCGAGATCTTCGTCGAGCAGCCTCACAGATTCATCGACGACCCCACAAAAGTATGCCAACTGATAAAATCCCTTTACGGGATCAAGCAAGCCCCGCGGCTCTGGCAGCAGCATCTTCACGGTCGCCTCGTCAAAATCGGATTCCTACAGCTGCCGCATGACCAAGGCATGTACCGACTGCAGAAGGGAAGAGAGTATATTCTACTCATCGTATACGTCGACGACCTGCTCTACATCGGTTCCACTACCGACATCGCCACCTGGTTAGAAGGGGAGCTGAAAAGGGACTTGACACTCACGGTGTCCGACACAGTGACCCAGTATCTGGGACT